AGTAGGAAACTCTTGTGGGACACTCTTGTGGGACACTCTTGTGGGACGCTCCTGTGGGACACTCATTTGGGACACTCTTGTGGGACACTCTTGTGGGACACTGTTGCAGGACACTCTTGTGGGACACTCTTAAGGGACACTCTTGTGAGACACTCTTGCGGGACACTGTTGCGGGACACTCTTGTGGGACACTCCTGTAGGGCACACTCCTGTAGGGCACACTCTTCGTACGAGACTTCCTCCAAAAGTCACGCTGCGAGGCTGCAAGACGAGCGTTTCGTACGAGACTTCCTCCAAAAGTCACGCGTCAAGTCTCAAAAACGAGCGTTTCGTACGAGACTTCTTCCAAAAGTCACACATCAAGTCTCCAAAACGAGCGTTTCGTACGAGACTTCCTCCAAAAGTCACATGTCAAGTCCCCAAAACGAGCGTTTCGTACGAGACTTCCTCAAAAACTTACATGTCAACGAACGTTTCGCACGAGACTTCCTCCAAAAGTCCAGCGGAAACACGCATCAGAGCACGCACATCGCGCAGCCCTGCCAAGCAGTTTCGCGATTCCAGCCCCTCCAAACGACACCCGCTCACACGCCAATCCCAATGCGACAGCGACATTCACTTCTACCACAACTCACAACCTCCCGATTCCCTGCGCCTGCCACGAATCTTTCCGCGTCCACACGTCTAACGCGCACAAAGTACTGCGCCTGCCACGAAATGTCACCTCCGTCACACCTCGCAACCTCACGGTTCCCTGCGCCTGCCACGAGAATCGCACTTCCACACCTCAAAAGCCGCACAAAGTCCTGCGCCTGCCACGAAAAATGACAATATCATCTCATGTGAGCTTCAAAAAAATTTGCACCACACCACACGTTTGGAATGATTTCGACCCGTTCTGAGCACACTCCCATCCACCAAAATCGGCATTTCAGCTGAGACTTGTCACGAAAACAGAGCTTCGATGCCACACCCTGAAATGCAAATCCCAATGGCACGGCCACATCCAACACCCCAAAAACACGACTCTCCAAACGCTAATCCCAATGGAACTGCGCAGCAATCTGCAGATCTCACAAAACGCTGCGCCTGCGCAGCGAGACGCATCACGTTTCTTGCGCCACATCTCATTTTCATGCAAATCACAATGGAATAGCGGCGCAAACTGACACGTGACACATCCATGAAAAGTCACTTGCAAAAGCTTCCCCCAACGGCAGCGCCTTAGCGTCCTACTGCGGACGGTTGCGGACGGTTGCGGACGGTTGCGAACGGTTGCGAACGGTTGCGGACGGTTGCGAACATAGAAGCAACGGGTCGAGAACAAGGCTCTACCCCCAGACCCCCAAGAGTTAAACGAGAACCCTTCGCTACGCATTCGGGAACATGTGGTTCAAAACTCAACACTTCCCCGCGATTGCACAAATGCTCATCCTCGGCAGATCAAGACAAACCACTGTGGATCTCCGGCCTGGAATCTTCACACCCATGTAGTTCAAGCTCGAACTGAGCGTGAAAGGCAAGAATTCTACCATCTAGACTATGCTGGGAAGGCTTGGGAATTCGACTGTAGAGAAAAATATGTGTCCTTGAAAGCACAGCAACATCGGCTTTGAAACACACAAAGTGCCAAAAACGAAACGTCTACATGATGTCAGAGCTGTCAACATGTCGGTGAGTTATTCGATCTACAACGAAAGGAGTTGAGTAGGTGAAGCGCATCTTTTTTCACAGAAAACAAATCTCGCCTCCAGTCAACGAAACCCATCGGTGGCACCTGCCGAGGACGGCAACTGCCGGTTGGGCGTTCAACGCAGTCTTTACCAAACATGTCGGCCTGAGAAATCTGAGCGTTCATATCCACCTGCAACAGGGACTGCGCTGGTGGGTCGTTGGTTTTTGCGACATCCAGGAGCAATTCTAGATCATGGAATGGAGGGCGTAGCGGAGTTTCCAAAATTGAAATAGTTCCGCATGACATGCTCGCATGACCAAAATCTTTCGGAGGTCTGCCTCGCTATTGACTGTTGACAAATTCTGTCAGTGTTTTTCTCCTGGCCTTTCCGTGCTCATCCTGCAAGAGGCGCATCACCTTTTCCGCCAATTGCTCGTCCTCCGGGAATGAAACGTTCGACATGAATCTTCACATTGGTCAGAAAGTTCCCAAAATGAGGATGCCTGAGCACAATGTGTTAATTGATGTTAATTGTCCTTCTGCCAGTGGGGCAGTTGCAAGGGTTGCAGTGCATTTTACAGAAAATAAAGGTCCGCCAAGCAAATCGCCACACCCCGCTTCATCCCAGCCATCTCACCACCAGCCTGCTGAACCATCTGTGCATCATTCCTGCAGTGAAAAGCTGTGGCAGAGAAGGCAACAACAGGGGCTCCTCTTCCAATGCCTCTCTGAACAGGAAAGTTGGGGTGAAAGCTTTTGCTAGAACCTTTTCTTGGTTCCTTATGGCTTCCACTTCGTGTTCCTCCCAAGTGTCTTTATGCCTGCGGATGAACAGCTCGCCAATGGCCAAAGAAACCTCCATTTTTGTTCTGGCCTCGTCTCAGCCTCTTTGGCTGTGGCTTTGGACCAAAAGCACTCATGGCCTCAAAGACAACCGGCAGAGTGCCCCTCTGACCACTCTCACATCATTGCATGCACATTGTTTCCTGTGGAGAGGGTCCAAATGCCTATCAACTGCAAGGATTCTGAGTCTAGGCCTATCAGAACCAACTACGACATGCCAAGATTCAATGCCAGGCAAGCGATTTCTTCACGATCAACACATCTGCTCTAGATACTGCATAGGCCAAGCACTGGTTTCAGCTGACACCGGCTGAAGCCCCGGAGCGCGGAAGGGAATACAGATTTGACCCCGTCCAGCGTCATTTTGGGCGTGGTTTCGGTGCGAAACTAAATGTGGCGCAATCTTGTGGAGCAAGGGGTGCCCAATGCTAAGAGAAGGCAGACAATGTACTAGTTTATATGGTGGGGTTTGGCACCGCCATGGTAGATGGTGCAATCCTGTTGGGAAGGAGCACAAAAGCTGATATCTACGCTAGGCAGTCCTGGGCAGAAAGTAACTTATTTATAGTATTTACGAGCTGCAGAGGCGCAGCCTGGCACCTGTGGTTTAGTTTTTGGTCGGAACTTTAAGTGGTTTTTTGTTTTTTATTTGGATTTTTTGTGTTTTTTGGTGGCCTGTGCGGTTCTCAATGGGAAAAGCATTGCAAGTAGAGCTTTTGTTTAGCAGAGTCATCAAAAGCAAGGATGCAATGGAAAATTCATCAAAATAGAGATTTCAATATAAAAGTCATAAAAGATAACGATTTTACCAGAAAAGTTATCAAAAGTAGCGATTGTAATGATTCAAAATGAGAGATTGTGACTAGTAAAGTCATCACGAGCAGAGAGTTCAGTAGACAATTCAGCAAACATGTTTCAGCAGAAAAGTTATTCAAAAAAAGTAGAGGTTTTAAGGGGGAAGGCATCAAAAGTGGAGATGAGAAAAGTGCATCAAAAGTAGTGATTTTGACTAGAAATGTCCTTAAAAAACGACTTCAATAGAGATTTCAATAGGCAAGTCATAAAATGTAGAGATTTCGATAGAAGAGGCATCACGATAGAAATGTCTTCCAGATTCATTAAAAATAGCGATGTTAAGGTACTAGAAACCCGTTGGGGTAATGGTGTGTTTTGACTTTAAAAATCATCAAGAGTAGCGCATTGGGATGTTTCTTGTTTTTTGGTGGTCTGTGTGGTTCTCAAGGGGAAAGGCATTACAAGTAGAGACTTTATCTAGAAGAGCCATCAAAAGCAAAGACTGCAATAGAAAACTCAAAAGAGACCATTCAATATAGAGTTAAATAAATGATTTTCCTGGAAAACTCAGTCAGGTTTCAATATATATATATATTGTATTATCCTACATCGGTACAAAAGCCAAAACCCAGACAGAACCTAAAAGCCACAAAAACCACACAACCCAAAAGCCACACGGAAGCCAAAAGCCACAAAAGCCATAAAAGCCAAAAGCCACAGAAGCCAGAAGCCACAAAAGCCAGAAGCCACCTAACCACTAAAAACAGAAAAACTTTAAGAAAAACTCTAAATCGCTCCCCGTTTAGTTTTGTCTATTTTGGCAGGCTTCGAGGAGGTAGATGGTGCTTTCTGTTTCGAAGGGCTTTTGGAAAAGTCCATACGTCCCTGAGGAGGTAGGGGTCGTGTGGGGAAGGGTGTTTAGGGTAGAGGTCGATGTGAAGATGGTTTCTGCGCAGACTATGTAGATGGTGTTTCAACGCTGTGAAAAATTTTGCAACGGACTTGCAGGGCCTGGGCTGCGCGTGTGAGGAAGTTGAGAGAGGTTCTCGAGGTCGGACAAAGTAGTCAGAAATAGGACGAAGGGGCAGACTGTCGTTGACTTATGATCGGCGGGCTGCCTGATCCGCCGATCCGCTGGCTGTGCCACTGGTCCGCCGGTGATCCGCTGATCCTGTGGCTGCTGTATGGCCTTTTCATGTTGATCTGCGGATTTGGCAATCCCATTAATGAGCTTTGTTGTAAGCGTCTGACACTTACAACTTATTACACACGAAATGCAAAAGTCGGATTTGCGCGCCTGACGCAGAGTGCATGAGGCAGGGAAGATCATCAGCACCTGGGCAGGAGGCAGCGCGCATGTCATAGCCTGACAACTGACTGTCGTGTGGTCTGTGGGCCATTAGTGTTCCAGCGCAGAAACATTGTGACGCAAAAGGAGGACTGTCTCCAGGCAGACGACCTTTTTAGGTCGCTCAATCCAAAGCTTCGGCCAACGGGGTTTCTTGTCGAAATATTTGGTCATTATGTGACCAAGCCATCTCCTGGGAGAAAAAGTGGAAACCAAAGCGGTTCATATGCTTTTTTGGGCGTCGATAGGCTGGAAGGCAAGTGAATGTAAACTCACAGACAGACTTCCAGATTTGTTGTAGCCGCTCAGCATGACATGGCAAATCAGGATGACAATCTTCTCAGCAAAATGCATCGATGCGATTGCCCATGTGAAAAGGGTGATGGCAAAGCTCATCGCTGGCGGCGCAAGCGCAGCAGCAGCTGTAGATGCCTGCGTGGGAAGCAACGCAAGACGGATCCACCGGCCAAAACCCCAAGTTAAATTGTTTTGAAACATGGCTGGTTACAATGAGGTAAGCTGGCGGAACTTTGTGATCACTCAGTCAAAAGGATTGTTGGCGCCCTTTTTCCACTCCTATATGAAACTTCCCAAGATGTCAAGCAACCTCTTCAAGCAACGCTCGTAGAGATGGCAGCTGTCATCATGAACCAAGAGAACAGCTTCAGGGACGACGGCCTTGGCCGCAGCCAAGCAAAAGTATCTATGAGGCAACGGCTCGCTGCCATAAATCTCTCGCATTAAAGCAATGATTCCAGAAGAAAGGCAGACACACAGAACCCCGGCAGTTTTTGTTAGCATTGCGTCGGATCCACCTTCTTTGCGTGTGTGGCGCGGGCGACGGCCTCCAAATGCTCTGGGGCGGACTCTGGCAGAAGCAAAGTCGGGAAATCTGCTGTCTCAGCCTTTTGCGCGCGCGGAACTGTCTGGTAACCACGCTGATCTTTTGTCGCCGCCCGTCTCACATAGCAAAAGCTCATCACCGCAGTCACTTCGCGCACGATGCTTGACCACTGTCAGGTCCTGCCAAGTAGGTATGATGTGGAAATCTTGGCAAAATGACATATGTAAGGACAACTGGGAAGCCAACAATTTTGACTTAAGCGAATGCCCTCTTCAAATGGTCTGCAGTGATGTGCAAAGATCTTGCTTCCAGCTGCTCTTGCGAATGCACTCCTGCAAAGATTTCAAACACCAGGAGACGCCCTGATAGAACGCCGATCCGCCATGGCGCGGATGAGGTTGAGCTGGATGAGGTACAGTAGGATGTTGATAGGAGTGGGGAGGAAGCCGCGGCTCATCTTGAGGTCATTGAACCGCTTGCGGGCGTCTAAGTATGAGGCTAAAGGCCTCATCATACTTAGTGACATCGAACTCTGGGTCGTTCTCAACGCCCTCATCATCCTGAAAGTAGGCTTCATCGCCATCAAATTCATCCCACAACAATGACTACACGTCATCGGTCTAATAAGTGTCATAGGCTTCATCATCACAATAGGACTCCGTTGGCTCATCAGCACAGTAGCCACGCCCCTTTCCGGACATTTGGGACCTCTGCACGCGATCACGGAGAAGTTGCCCGCCTCAATTGAAATCTTGTCCAGGGATTGCACTGGGAAGTTGAACGTCGGGGTCGGTGATGAACTGCAGGAGCTTCTGACCAGGTCGTCTAGCTAAGTGCTCAAAGTATGAAGAGAACTCGGATGGCAGTCATACTTGCATCGAGGCGTCCAAGGATCTCCTATAAGGCCTTGTCACTCTCGGCCTTGTCCAGGTTCGCAAAGGCGCCAGGCAGTGCCTGAGAGAGATCCTAGCAGGTTCAGGATCGCCTCTCCTTGGCGTTTGGAGAGGCACATCTTCTTGTGGTAGATGAGAACTCTTTTGCGCCACTCCTTGTATCCAGACAGTGTCCCATCAAACAATGGGATGTATGAGCCTCTCGTGGACTCATTTTCCACTTCAGTCTTCTTTTCTCCAGCCGCCATCTTTGGGCTTTAAGAGGATGTCAAAAGAGCCGGCAGTCAAGCAGGTGGTACTGCTTGGACTCAGATATACGGGGCAAAGTGCAAGCACGGTAGCAGCACTCGAAGAGGAGGTGCGTCAAGGCTGTAGTGACAACACCGAAGAGGATCACAAGGTGGATGTAATGGATGGGGAGTTGGATGTAGTGTTGTGGTGAAAGTAGCGAAGTCGCGGCAGGGAGCCACCTTCTGGAAGGGCGGCTCCGCTACCAATGTGAGTAGGAGCTGCAGCCAGGCACTCAAAGTCCTTTGCCAAAGCAAGCCTATGGCTTCACGAAGTTAGTCCCTCCCACTTCTAAGGAGGATTGGGCCGCAATGGCCACATCACAAATGAAACTATATCACAATACCTGGGTGGTGCAAGTGACATGTTCATGGAACTTGCAATTATGATGATGATGATGATGATGATGATGATGATGATGATGATGATGATGATGATGATGATGATGATGATGATGATGTTGCAGTGATGATGACGGTAGGAGAGAGAGGTAGCTGTTCCTTAAGGAGAACCCTTCACAGGTTCTTTCGGGAACAAAGTCAAAAAAAATATGAATATGACATGTCCCTGAGATCCCGGCAGTTGGGACAATCAGCGCCATCTCGGCATCCACCCTGAATCCACAAACATGCAAAAGTCGAAGGACCCCAGATTCACCGCTTTGCGGACAGGTATTCAGGTCTTCAGACCAATCGCGTCTTCAGTCACAACTGAACCGTCCCACACGCCCTGCCTTGCGCTTTACGTACTTGCATGCAGCAGCGCAGTTGTAAGGATGCCCCACCGAACCTGCGCACGTGGACTGGCACACCAGTCTCGGGTCTCAGCTGGTCGATTTAACCAAAAGTTCCCAGCTGCATTGACTAAAAATACAACAAGTGGGGTATGTCTCAAAAAAGCGACACCGGGCAAAAGAATAAATGTCAATCAAATTGAGATGCGCACATTTTTGGGATATCAATCAAGGCCTGAGGCCAGGTGACAAGTAGACTGATAGACTTCAAGGATAATTCAACCTGTTTGTATTGGCTGATTGGATCTGGATTTGAAGTGTGTTGCAAGCGACATGTTGTGACGACTCAGTTCAACACCCAGAAGGATGGCCACTGCAGTGTGCCCCTAACTTTTCTTTCTGCAGTTAAAGCATGGTCAACCCATAAAGACCTTCCCAAAAACAAGACTTAAGCTTTCTATAGGATCTGTAGGCAACTAGAAGAACCTGTCATTTGAGAGCCTCTTCGGGAAAGCAGAGAAGTATATGGACCTGGCCTGCCGTTGCATAAACAAGTGACATGGGTAACCACATAGCTCTGCGTTGAGATCAGTTGTGGCAAGCCACCCACATTGACGCCCAAACTAATTGGACATAAATTTTCTTGTAGCCTTCATTTCTATGTTCCACCCAGTTGAAGCAGTAGACCTGCGACGGATTACTGTACTAAAAGCCACCGGAACCCAAGAGGCTAAAGCGGAAGGTCACGGGCAGCCTTTGGAGATCACGGCCAATCGATTCCTCTTTGATTCCTTTGCGTGGAAGGTCCAGTCGACGAGCCGACAACCCTTGGATGCCCTCATGCTTCCAACCTCTTTGGGTGCCTTAACACTTTGTGATATCGAAAGAGCAGCCCACCATCCGAAACTGTTTTGTTGCTTTGACTTGTCCTTTCCATTCCTGTATAGACAATAGGCAACTCTGACTTTTTTGCTGATTCCCAAAATGGAAGTAGACTGCTGACTCTGATGATTCACTAAGACCCAGACCCGCGCCACAGCATGTGGTGCTGGCGGGGGCCTGGCTGAGGATGAGTCCAACCACCACTGGGAGCATGAAGTGCTTCACAGTTAGGACGACACCAACCACCACAGCGCCCGAACAAGAATTTCACTGCTAAAAGAAAACATATGTGTATGTGTATGTGTTTTAAAGATTTATACATATATCATATATACATCTATTAATTATATTTATATATATTTTATATTATATAACTGTATATTATACATATGCAAAATGAGGTCGGATCCTGCTACACTTAAGACTCTCTGTTTTGAAACGGCTGTATTATTTGAAGGTATCACTCTTGATGGTTAGGGTAACCCGCGGACCACCAAGCTGATTCCTTCAGCATTGACCCGAGGTCCACAATCAGTTTGCTACACTCAGCACAGCGACAGTTGCGAACTTCCAGGGTGTTAGGATGCCCGGCGAGATGAAACTCTGTTCATCAAGAGGAACCTGGCACTCAAGGAGGGCCAAACTGACTCCAATCACTCCAATCCCTTCAGGGCGTGAACAGGGTTTAATTTGGGTTGATGGATCTCAAACGCATGCCTTCGACTGGTCTTGAGACCCTGTGCCTTGACAAAATCATCTGCAAAAGTCGGCTTGGGAAGGTCCAGGGCTTCCTGCACCAAGGCAAAAAATATGGCTATGATTGAGAACGCCAAGAGCAGTTGGGCTCCTAGAAACAATCGGCGAAGACTTGACTATAACCAAAAGTCAACCACAATGCCATGGACCACTCCCAGCACATTGAAAAAAATCCAAATTCGCGTGGGATTCCAGTTCCAAGCTGAAGATGTTCTCTTCGAGTCATCGACCACTCCAACCGACTCGAACCGACCACTGCAAACATCGTCATCGAGCTCCACTCCAAACAGTCAACCCTCACAGACCTGGGACCATTGTTTGGCGGCCAAGCTGGACAACTTCTCATGAAGGTCCCCGGAAGCCAACTCGTTCCAGCCACCTGCTGTCGACCAAAATTGGAGGGCACGACCGATGGAGGACGGGGTCGGTCCCGGCCATAGGGCCAAGATGGGCCATGGGGTAAGGTACAGGCAAGCGCGAAACTCATGCCTAACTCACGCCTGCATCCTGAAATCTATGTGTTCCAGCATGTAAACGCAGTTTTAGGAAAGTCATGCCTATCTCATGCCTTTCATGCTTCCCCCAAGCTAAACGCAACAGTTTTTGGAGCCGTGCGATCTCTGAATTCTATTTTTTGGCAACTTTTGCAAACCGCTTTCCACGGTTTGCACGCCATGCCGATAGCCAAGCGCTTCGGCCGGAGGTGGATTTCAAAATCCCTTTGTTCAGAACCTGTTTCTGAAACACGGACCACAATGGCTCTTTTCGGCACAGTGGTTTGAGGTGGCTGCACACGAAAAACTCAGCCACCGGTTTGATTTCATCCCTTCGGGATTTGCTGAAAGAAGACAAAATGTCTTGTGTTTTGCGAAAGAATGGACAAGATGGAATGTATAATTAATTTCGATGAATATATATATATATATATCTGCTCTCAACTGCTGGTCAACTTGGGTCTGCAGTCTTCATGCAAAATCTCATCACCCAAAATCTCTTGCCGAACATTCAGGCGCAAAATGCGCCAGCTGTCGGTTTGATTCGGTTTTCAAAACAAAGCAGCAGACATCAAACAGTAGCACTGCCCATGCAAATTCCAACATAAAGAGTCTTTGCAACTGTATCCGAAGATATTCCAAAAAATGCAGAACACAAACTAAACGCAACAATCAAAAGCGTCGAACTCAAAGAAAACAACTCCGCCCCATTAGCTGGACACAAGCTAAACGCAACAAAATACATCAAAAAAAAGCTTCAAAACCACCATTTCGGATTGCATTTACAATGCGTTGAGCAAAAAGGCACGACTTCTGAATTAGCCCAGCTGGAGACCCCAATAGCAAGATACAAACCGGGACAAAAAGAAAAATCTGGAAACAGCTGCTGTTTTCAACACATCGACCATCTCTTCCTTGGACACCATCATCACATAACCGGGACAC